CAAAAGAAAAGAAAAAAAAAACATAAAGAGTTTGAAAGAAAGGGACTTGACCATGTGACTATAACAGTGACATCAACTCTACTCAAAATGGGGAATCTAAGATCCCACTTCTTTGCGTTTTTTACTGTTTCGACAGATAGTGCAACTTACTGTATGCACAGTACTATGAAAGTGCATGCAGTACAATGAGACTATAACACTTCCAATATCAGACCCACATGCAAAGATCCATCAGTCACACCGATTTCTTATGAAACTATAGAAATCTGACCTTTAATAACCCAAGTAGTATACTCTTCAATTCATGGATCACTTAATGCAGAGGAGATCGAGAGTGAAAGTCTTTTAGCCAGGCAAATCTTCAAGAACTTCTTCACTTTACCAATCAAGAAAGCAAAATAAGATAAAAAAGAAGAAGAGTATACTATTGATATTTTGTCAATAACAAAAGCCATTCTAGCCAAGAATTATTAGGTGAGCGGATTCTTCACTCTCTCAAGATGTAAAAGAAAACAACATTCTAAGCTCCCAACAGATTATGAAGCTGTTGAGATCCTGGTCCGTTGACGGACCAAACTAGAAAACTCAAAACACTAGCAAGCTTTCGATATCCTACTCATAAGCAGAATCAAAGAAGAACTACACGGGTTTGACATGGACAATGGTCAGGGCCAATTACTGGGACTTATTCTCAGGGGTTAGTAGTGAAATCATGGCTTGCATTATAGTATGGTAGCTTTGTTTCAACTATTCATAAATCATAATCAACACGTATTCAATCTATTATTACAACCGGAAAAGACCTTATGACCTTACTACTGTGTTCTAAGCTGATATTATGCTAATAAAAATGCACTTTCTTTCAGCTTTAAGACTAGAAAATGATATATATATGCAATTTGTAGCAACGATTTTGTGTGGATCAATCCTGGAAAAAAAATCATAAAACACTAGTCACTGAAACCTAATAGGAGGAAATCAAAAAGGAAACATAAGTAGAGGTTGTAACTTACGGTTTTTACATCTTCGGTCTGCCACCAAAATGCTTAAAAAAAAATCGGGAAGGACGATTGCGACTCTCAGGTCCTTTTCTTGACACTCCCCAGCGTCTAGCGTACGGTAACCACCCTTTAATTAAGTGAACTAGTTTGAATTCTGCTGCTGGTAATTCGTCTTGAGCTCCCGGATAACACTTCTCAGCTACATTATCCACATCA